CCTTGCCCACCCTGCGCTGTGCCCACCCTGTGCTGTGCCCACTCATCACCCAGAGCTGTGCCCGCCAAGTGCCCCGCCCACCCAGCGCTGTGACCGCCAAGTGCCCCGCCCACCCAGCGCTGTGCCCACTCCGTGCTCTGCCCACCCATCACTGTGCCCAAGCGTCCCGCCCACCCAGCAACCCGCCCACCCTGTGCTGTGCCCACTCCGTGCTCTGCCCAACAAGCGCCCCGCCCACTCCGCACCCGGCCCACCCACCTTGGACCAGGCGCCCAGCCGAGGCGCACGCACCTCGTGGTGTTTACTCGCGTCTCACTACAGCGTTGATCATGGGCCTAGACTGTAAAACAAAAAGAAATTGAGAGGGTTGTTTTTTCCTTGCCCAGTCGTAGGCGGGAAGATGATGGACGGACGCCCCAGCCCTCCTGATTCCGGGAGGCCAGTCGCCCCATTTGCTCCCCAGAACCCCGGAACCCAGGCTCTGGGGCTGAGGCCATTCCCGAGGTGGTCCGTAGGGGGCGCCCTGCCTGCGGCGCTTCAAGCTAATGCTCAAGACACTGAAACCTTCGGTAACTGTTTTGTATCCTCTCTCAGAATTCACAAAAGTCTCTCCAAGGCTATTTTGAGTCCTGTTTACAGATAGAAACAAACTGTTTGGCCAATTAAAACTAAGCTATACTAGTATAAAAACTGGATTAGGCAATACATGTTCGTTCTCTGGACCAGGCACCTGGCCAGGTCATATACAGATCTGCTTCTGTCCACAGCTAATGACCCCCTTTTAGGGGTAGCACCCAGCATCTCTCAAGGAGAGAGCTGGGGTTCCTGCCCATTTCGCAGATGGCACTGGTTCTATCCTGAAGAATGAGTTTCCAAATAATTTTCAACATAACAAGATCTTTTTATACTTAGAAAGAAGCTGAAGTTTAAGAAGCCTTTGATCTCTTAAGGTTTCTAGGTATTTCTTACTTTGTTTTGTTTGTGGGTTCAGTGGCTCTGCAGGGAAGTTAGAACAGAGAGGAAGCGTGGTGACAGCCATGAGATACGACCCGAATACTGGCATAACATGTTGTAAAACACTTGTGTTCTCAAACAGAAAGGGAGCCAGGCACCGCCCGTGGCTCGTGCCTGTAATCCTAGCTACTCAGGAGGCTGAGGTCTGAAGATCTCAGTTCAAAGCCAGTCTCAGCAAGAAAGTCCATGAGACTCATCTCCAATTAACCAGTAAAAAGCTAGAGGTAGAGTTGTGGCCCAAGTGGTAGAGTGCTAGCCTTGAGTGAAAAAGCTCAAGGACAGCATCCAACACACACACACCCCAGAAGGAGACAAAGCTGACAGCAAAGTAGGGGTCAGAGAAGGGCTCTCCAATCAATGACACACTAAATTTGGTCCCATCATAGCTGATCACCCTCATTTTCTGAGCGTAGGTGATCAATGCCTGCTTCTTCCAAAGCTTAATGTTTACTATTGGTCAGATTTCAGGGAAATGTTTGTCAGCGCAGACACAAGCTGCATTGCTTCTGCCTTTACTGAAGTTCATTTCGCACTGAAACCAGTTTTCCACCTGTACTGAGAGATCATATCAGGAAGCAGAGGCCTAGAAGAAGCCCAGCCACACAGCCACACAGCCCCTGCTCTGCTACCAGCCTGGCCCTGCTGAGGACTGCCGCACGACCCAGGCCTGATCAGATGGGGCTTCTGACAGCCTCCTGCCCCTGAGATGGTGTCAAGAGACCACGTCCCCGTCCCCTGCTCAGAGAGATTGCAGACGTGTGTGACCCACCTCTGTGTGAGGTGATGAAGAAGCTGCTGGAAGATGACACACCATCCAGGTGAGTAACGCCCTCCTGCAGAGGTGCTCTGAGATTTCTGTGAAGAATAAATGCTAGGTAGAAAAGTGCCGCTTAACCTTGGAAAAGAGAGAGACAGAGACAGCCTGAAAATGATTTTTTTTTTACTTTTCTACACAATCCAGAAATGGGATCTCAGAGTTTGTTATTCAACCTCTCTGGCTTCTTCTCTCCCTGATTTTGGGAGCCCCAAATGTGGGAGATGAGCTTTCTTCCAAGGACAACTCCGAGCTGCGGACCAGACGCCAAGCAGAAGAAACTCTAAGGAACGGGGCTTCAAGGGCCAATCCTGAGATATCTGTGATGGCCAGCAAGAAGGGAACCAGCTACAGCTGGAACAATTTCAGATCTCAGGACAGGAAGGGACTCTCCTTCCTGTGCATGCAGCCCCATTCTTCCCTTCTCTTCCCATATGGTGGCAGGGGCAAAGGTCAATGGATGCCTCTGCTGGACCCAGACCGCTCACTCTTCACTTCTTCAGCCTCTCTGGGAGGCGTGGCTGGGCCCTGGGACATCATGACGTCCTCACCAAGTGAGCCATCTGAGTCCGAGGAGGCCTGGGGTGAGTCCTGGAGCCACCAGATACCTTTCTCACTGGCTCTGAGGCCCCATGGTACAGAATCCGGGAAACAGGAAGGTCCTTGGAGCAAGAGTAAAACTCATCCTGCAAAGCTGTGCAGCCAGGGCCGAGGTTTCACGATGAACACTTGTCCCTGTCCCGCCTCTGTAGCTCAGCCTCTGTGGCTACCTATCTTTTCTTCTGGCGTAGTGGTGTGGACTCCTTGTTGGCATGCTCTCCCCTCTAGCTACCTCCTTGGGAAAGTCCACCCCTCAGAGTGCCCCTCCCTGGGTACTTTCCTCAGGGACAGCTGTTCCCTGGGACCACCTCAGTGGGCTGGGGTTGGTTACAGACACACTTGCCCTTGTGGAAGCTTCCAGATGAGCAAACTTTGGACAGTCATCTTTCCCTGGGCAATCCACCAGAAGCCTATGTTAGGAGAGACAGAGGCCTTCCGTCCCTCCACCCCTTTCAGCCAGCATGTCTGGGTTCTGTTCATACCGAGTCCTGGCCCTGTCTTGTAAAAGCCTTTCAGGATCATGTTTTCTTACAAAGAGGGAAATAGCAGAGTGGAGATCTGGGCCTTGTGTGTAGTATTCCTCTGGGAAGGAGAGACCATTCAAGCGAACATCCATTACTGTTTTTTTTTTGGGGGGGGTCCAGTCGTGGGGCCTGAACTCTGGGCCTGGGCGCTGCTCATCAGCTCAAGGCTAGCAGTCTACCACTTGAGCTACAGCGCCACTTCCGGCTTTTTTCTTTTTGCTTATGTGGTGCTGAGGAATCTAACCCAGGGCCTCAGGCATGCAGGGCAAGCGCTCTACCACTGAGCCACCTTCCCAGCCCCATCATCACTGCTTCTTAATTAATCTACCGAAGTGAAAGGCTCAGCCAGGGAAGAAAAGTCCATGGGACTCTTATCTCCAATTAACCAAAAAGCCAGGTGTGAGGCTGTGGCTCAAGTGTCAGAGCACTAGCCTTGAGCACAGCTGCTTGGGGATAATGTCCGGGTGCTAAGTTCAAGCCCCAGGACCAGCACCAAAAGAAGAAAAAAAAAGAAGGAAAGAAAAGACATTTTAAAAAGAAATGAAAGTCTGGAAGGACCCCTGAAGCAGGGGACCTAAAGGGTTAAATGAGGACACCTCAGGCCAACAAGTCTCCCATTTCAGAGAAGGGGCAGCTGGGGCCTGGTCTGCAGAGGGACTGGCCTCCAGGCTCCAGCCTCCGGGAGAGTTGGTGAGGGCCCCGGGCCTGCCTCTCCCTGGACACACCGTCTCCTGGCCAGAGCTGGGAGCTGTTTGGGTCCACATCTGAGCCACGCGTGACTGGCCCTGGCGTCTTCCTTTACCTCGCACTGGATGCAGGCTGCGTCCAGGTCCGTCGCCATCTGCTTGCTGCCTTCCAGGCTAAGAATTCCAGGATAAGATCAGCAGATTTGAGTGCTGGCACCGTAGCTGACTCCAGCTCCCCAGAAGGGCTGCCACACAGCCTAGAGCCTGCATAGTCCTCAGAACTTCTAACTGGGGCCACCGCGGCCTCTCACCCCACCATGCCCTGTGCTCCCTTCCCAGGGCTCCATTCCTGGGGTCCGGGAATTAGCATCTCTGTGAAGTCCCGCAAACAAAGCCTGCTGTGCAGGAGATGAAAGCCAGGCTCCTGGCAGCGCTGGGGGGTGTTCCGAGCTTCTGGAAGGTGGGGCTGAGAGAATCCTGCAGAGAAGATGTCCAGGTGAGAGCTCAGCCCGCCTCCGGAGTGCTCGGGGATCTGGGCTGTGCCCCCCCAGCTGTCCTCCCCGGCTGACCTCCCCGCTGTGAGGCCAAGGCTAAGGCAACACTCGCACTCGAGAGCATCACTCCGCCAGAGCGTGGGCTTTTGCAGGCATCTTGCTGCTGCTCACCCCCACCCCAGGCCACCACTACGAAGAGGAATCCCCCCAGCCAGGCCTGCTTCTGAGGACTCTTGTCCTTGGGTGGGCGATCACCCCCCCCACACACACACACACAATCTTCCTCCTCTGCTAGGCTGCTCCTCCGTTGACGCGGCGCGGGTGGTGGAGTTGGGTTTCCGGGAGGAAGGCTGGTTATCTCCGGCTGTCACGACCTCTCCAGTCTCAATCGTGAGGCCCACTCTGCAAAACAGTAAGACCTCAGCCTGGGCCTGCCGACACCTGAGTTCCCACCCTAGGGATGCGGGAGTGTGGGAAAGCTGAGAGCTCCACGTGCAGTGAACTCTCCTGGGTGCGCCGTGCAGCAGCCACGGTCCTGGTGTCTTCATGGTGAGCAAGATCACGCAGCCGTCCGACTCCACGGGGCCAGGAGAACGTGGCTTCCTCCGAGAGGGAGGAAAGGGGAGGGGTGGAGCGCAAGCAGGTGTGGAGGGTCACACTTCCCAGCGTCAGCCCTGAGGAACATATTTTTTTCACTCCCCCGAGAAAATGTAAAAAAATAAATAAATCCCTACTGGAAGTTTCTGGATTGCAGTTGTTTTGTGTGTGTGTGTGTGTGTGTGTGTGTGTCTGCTACTTGGAGAGTGGGAGGCAGAAAGGAAAGTTTCCACATAAGAACATGGCAGGCACACACAGCCTCACAAAGTGTTTCTTCTCCTGGGCGCCTTCGGCCCCCTCCTTTCTGCATGGTCAAAAAGCCGAATAAAGAAACCAAAGACTTTCATTTTATACACCACTTGATCTTTGCTTGGGAAACTCTATTAATTGAATGGGTTTGCCTTTTTCGCCAGTTCCCTTTATCATTATTTATGGGCTTTAAATTGTTTAAAGTTCCCTTGACGTTCAATTTACAAGTTTGGGGACTTTTTTTGTTCTGTCTTTTGTCCTGGAGAAAGACATCGTGTTGGAAGTGCTTTGAAAAGCCAAACAGGAGAGGTTGGCAAGGGAAGGGAAGCGGGTGAGATCCCTTTTAATTCTGTCTTGTTGGTGAATGGCTCTTTTACATAATTGCAGGAGCGATTTCAAAGCCAGCCCAGGACTGACTTCACTCAGAACCACATGGAGTCTATTTTGGGCTTTCAGATTTAAAAAAAAAAAAGTTGAATAAAATAGTTTAAAAAGATGAGGCTTCAGTGCTTTCTACTGCCTGCAAATTGGTGTGTCTGATGGGGGCTTTTACACAAGCACCTCTTTGTAAGTACGTCTTGGGTAGGGAGCACTGTTCTGGGTTAGCTAAGTGTGAATCCCAATTGCCTTCTCATAAACAAAACCCATCCCAAGTTATTTTCCAACGACTGCCAGGAGCAAGAACTGTGGCAATGACCAAGTGATCTGGCCGTTCAAACTCTCCCTAAATTAAAACAACCCGGTGGCCGGAGAAGCCAGCCTTTGCCAGGCTTTGGGCGGCTGTCAGGAGAGCTCAGACTGTAAAACCCAGAGCTCAGACAGTAAAACCCGCACGCAGACCTCACTCAGCATCCAGCACCCACAGAGTTCTGGGGCACCCACACAGCCCTCCCTCCCCCACCCCTGCAAAATGCAAGGTGGTGCCTACGCAGTCCTCTGGCCAGCCTTAGAATAAACATTCATTTCCTTGTGTACTTTCTGTTTTGCATTCAACCTTCACCCGCCTACACGCACAAGGCACCCGGACTGCTCCGAAGGATGGAGTCAACTTAATCAGCACCACCACTTCTATCAAACGGCTAAACTACTTATTTAAGTGGCTTAATCCTCCATCCTGACACTTGCTTGGCAATATTAAAGTGCCCCGGGGTTGGGTTATCTTCATTGGGACGGTGACTGCCCGGGAAAGAAAAAAGTTTGCAGAAGTTACAGGGAGTAGAGAAAGCCCCTCTCCCTTCCCACCCCTGCATCTGCTTCCTTCTTAATGGGAGTGGGAGGGGCTCATAAAGCAAAGATGCAAAGCTCTGTGTGGGTGGCTTTCCTGCATACCCGGCCTGGAGGGCAGCCACCCTCGACTCAGAAGTTGGAAGATGAGCAGGTTAGGCTTCGGAAAGATGTGCTAAGCCTGTCGCTCCCTGCTCATAAATCTCTTGGCAGAGCCGAAGTCTCCATAAAGGCTTTGCCATCCGCAGTCCCCGCGCTCTGAAAACTTTGCAGGTAGCCGAGATGCCTAGAATGAGCCTTGTTAATCACCTCGAAAGACACGGGTCCTTTTATGACAGGAGCAGTCGTTTTCTAAGCAGTTAAGCATTAGGTGGGAGAACACTACTACATTGCATCCGAGAAAAGCACACCAGTAAATAAAATTCATATTGATGAAAATTATCCGAACTCACTAATAAAAGAAGATTAGTGTTATAACCCCTGCAGTCAATAGTTTTCATGGCAATTTATGGGTGCAAAGAACCTGCCATCAAATTGTTTCAAGTGTAGCTATAACTCACCGAACTAAACCTCCTTGCTGAACTTTAAACGCAGAACTGCAAAAAATAAAATAAAATCAGAAGAACCTGCCTCTCTGAGGGCGTCCCTAGAATAACACTTTCGAGGTAATAGAAAGTGGATCGCCAGTGGGCCCAGGGAAAAGGAGGAAAAGGAGACCCAGCCCGGGCAGAGGCGGCTGGAAGGGTCCCCGGCTGTCAGTGGAAATCGCAGAGGGGTTTGCCCTGGGTACTGGGGAGGGGGGCAAAGTCCTGCACCGGAGATGCTCGTCGTGACTGTCTCCTGAGGAGAGGAGGTGTCTGTTGAGCTCGTGAAGAAATCAGCCTCTGCCTCGGTCTCCGGCCCCTTCTCCCCCCTCTTCCCCCTTCTGTAGGAGGGCAGAGCCGGGATGGGGCAGAGCTCGGGGAACCCACGGACCCCTCCTTCCCCACGGATCTCAATGGGGACCCGTCCCCTCCCGCACCGCTCGAGCCACCTCGAGGTCTGGGCGGGGGCGAGTGAAAGCCATCCAGGCAGCGTCCTAATGAATTCCTTTCACACCGCCTGCTGCCCGAGCTATTACGGCGGCTTGGAGTGGGGGAACGCGCCGCAGACGTCTTTGTCCGTGACGGAGGGGAGGGAGAAGAGGCTGGGAGGAGGGAGGAGGGAGGAGGGAGGCAGGCCGGCGGGCCGGCGAGGCTTCCCGGCGCCCCCCGCCCCGGCGCCCGGGCCGCTCGCTCCCCTCTCCTCCCCGGGGGCCGCACCTCGGGCTCCGGGTCTCCAGCCCGACTCCCGGCCCAGAAAGTGCTCTGGGATTAAGACATCCCCCCCACCCCGGGGGGCCTGGGGGTTAGAGCGAGCGAAAGAGGAAAGAGCGAGAAAGAAGAACTTCAAAGACTCGGGTCGATACATTCATAAAGATCGATGTGTCTTTATCTCCCAATTAAATGTGCTTGTCGGTGACACAGAACACACGTCCAACACGGACCAACGCCCCGACCGCGAGCTCCTTCCTGGGCGTGAGCTGGTTTTTAATGGCCGAGGTAACCAGGCCGTGCGTCCTCTCTCCATCTCCCGGTCCGGGCGCTGTCGGCCGGTCTGGAGTCTCCGAGCCCGGGCCAGGGACGCGTGCCAGCCCCGCGCGCTCCGGGGCGCTCCGCGCACACCGCCTTCTCCACCAGCAACGCGGGAGCTGAAAGTTAATCCTAACGGGAAGCGGGGATCCGCCGCCTCACCTCGCTTTCCCGCCCCCGGCCCTCCCCCCCTCCCCGAGCTCCCTCACTTCCCCGGTCGGGGCTCTGCACCCCGGGCGGGAGCAGGGTAGGAAATACCTTGCGGGGATCTGCTCCGTCCTGCGGTGTGCAAAGTGGAGCCGCGCGCGCCCTCGAGTCCTCGGCGGAGCCGCGGCGCGGGGCGAAGCGCTCGCCCGGCTCGCGGTGCTTAATTAGCACCCATGTACCCGACGCAGCTTTTTATTTGAGCACACGGCGTCAAGCGTCGTCGGATCGGCTTACGAGCCACCCTCCGGAGGCCCCGGGGCCGAGCGGGCGACGGGCGCTTTAGGACCGTCACCATCGGGCGGTGGTTTCGGTGTGCGCTGGCAACGTGGGTAAACAGGTGCGCTGACAGAGGAGGTCAGGAAACCGAGAGGGGGCCGCACGCGGGAAGGCCCGGCTCGGAAATGGGGGTGTGTGGGGAGCACGTCCCGCGCCCCGCCTGCAGTGCGGTGGGGAGGCGGCGGCGGGGGGGGGG